AGCGAAAATATTTATGCAAGTAAGTAATTTGAATATTTTTAAATTTTCTTTATTGTCTCAATTATTACAAAAAATAACAATTTTAAAATTTGAGACATGATTTTATTTTAATATTTTTGGAAATGAATGACTTAGTTATATTTTAAAAGAAAAAAAAATTAAGGTAAATTTTCAACTCAATCCGAATGAAAATTTAACTTTTCAATTATGTAATGTGGTTTTCTTTAATTTACAATTTCAGAATATAAATAATGAATGATAATTGTGAAATTACAAATGGCTTAAGTTGCACATTTTATAAAGCATGTGTTATACAAACTAACAAATTCAATTGAGATTTTAATAAAATAAGCTCATTTCCAAAACAAAAAAAAAAAAAAAAAAAAAAAAAAAAANTCCACTGCCCTGACTCCCAAAAAAAAAAAAAAAAAAAAAAAAAAAAATTGGGAGTACTTCTTAAAATTAAAGATTTGAAAATTATTAATGATATAAAATTTGTCAGAAAACCCATTCTATGAAAAATGGAAAGAAATATCAATAAAAGTTGTGATATAGTACTATTTCTTAAATAAATTTGAAATATTGAAAAAAAAAATCAGCTGAACACACTTAGGAGTAAGAGGAAAATGGATGGTAGCAGTGTTCGCTAAAATAATTTTATTTAGTATTTCTGTATTGCTAAGTAAATAATGCATGGAATGACATGAAACTATTGTTCTATGTTTTACTACTTCGCAGCAGTACAGAAAATTAAGTAAAATTATATCGCCGAATTATTCCAATACTATCCAAATCTTCCTCTTGCTTACTCCAAAAATAAAAAGCAACGCAAGATAATATCGGAAAATACAAAATCTAATATTATATTGCATCAAAACTAATGCAAAATAATATTACGGCGAACGCTATATTCTAATATTATATAATGCAGAGCAAACAGCGACCTCTTGTATCTTTCTAATATTAGAAGTTCTGCAAGATAACGTCAGATTTTACCGATTTTCTGATGTTATCTAATATTAGGTGCTACTTGGGCATTTGCGTTACATGGAGAAGAAGACCACGAGATTCTCCCACGGTTAGCCTAATGGCAAAGGGACTTTAACCCATTATCCGTCTACCATCGAGAATATATTTCACGTCAGCACCGTGGTCAGTGCAAGCCGGATGCGGAATTCATATTAACCAACCGTCACTGGGATTGGAACCCGGTTCACCTCAATGGCATATTCGGTCTCAGCTTCACATAATGTAATTGAAGCAATATTTTCAAAATAATTTCGCTCTATATAAATTTATATAGAGTAGTCCATACAAAATTTTTATATAAAGTAATCAGAATCTTACTATGTAACATAAATAATGAATAGCTGCTCGATGAATATATTTTTCAAAAGATATTGTGTAATACAGAAATTCATACATTCTAAACCAAAACAGCGGACAAAAGAATCAAATAAGTATTTTTTGAACTTTATACACAATGATTGTAATCAAATTATTGTAATGCGTATTTTTGTTCGCACGAAAATCTTGAAATTTATTAGACGTCACATCGAGGCATAAATGAACAAAATTATTATGCGATAATTATGTTTCTTAAAAATGGTGTCTTGCATTGATATAATTTTGTATGCTAAGATCAGTTTTGAACTACAAAGAGTTGCATTCATATTACTAGAATATCATTAGTGAATGAAGTAGTTAGCAGTAATGAAGTATCATTAATTCTGAAATAAATTGAAAATTTAGAATTTTTTATTTCAGGTAGGGGAGAGGATACGGAACTAAAATAGACAACTTGAATAACTTCTTTTAAAGATCTAATCTCCTTTGTGAGATATCGAAAATTGGAAACTAGTACATTTCCATGTGTAGTCGCGTAACACATAGTGAATACTTCAGAAGAAATTTCTAAAAGAAGATATTGTGTAATACAGAAATTCATTCATTCTAAACCAAAGCAATGGACAAAAGAATCGAATAAGTATTTTTTGAACTTCATACTTTCAATAACTTTCAAAAATTTTTTCTTAACTCTATTAACATATTTTATTTTTAGAATTTTAACTGAAGGTGATAATATGTTATAAGAGATACTGTTTTTCTTTAACTATTTTAATATTAACTTTTGCCCTGTACAGTTTCAATTGATTATTTTTAGGCATAAACAAACATATATCTTCGTGAGAATAGTGTTGATATATAATAGTGTGGACATGTTTTAAGTGGATTTTTCCTTTATAAATAAGCAACTTTAGATTTTTTAATATTTTTAAATTGCAATGATATTAAATCGATATAAAACGATTGAAATTCATTGACATCAATGACTCATTAAGATTTAATGACTTCAAGTGTTTGTTTGTTCTTTCGTTTTAAATAAAAAAGAGATGCATTATGTTGATAGAGTCGAGGTAGTTTATACACTTTCTGACATAATGTTCGATATTTCGGAAAGAAAGATGAATATAGTTATAGTAAACATGAATCTTTCCTTTTTACGGAAAACAAAACATTTCTCAAATTTCAAGAAAAAAAAATAGTTATCAAACTTCCAGCGGCTGGTAGAACTTCAAAGATTGTATCTTAATACAAATTTAAAGTTGACATTTAAATTTTTTTCTATTTAAAATAAATTTAAAAAAATATGAATATTTATCAAATGCATCAAACTGAATGATGGCTTTCAAATGTATTGATTTGCTTTCAAAATGTCTTTTTTTGCTAAAGTGCACTGCTCTATTACAAATTAGAATATTAATTAACGTATGTTAATATTTACTCTTCAATAAGACTTAGATTGAAAATAATTTCTCTTTGCTTTTTATATACCTTTCTGATATTTGATAACTTAACAAGTTATCAAGAGTATGTTTACAAATTAGAAGTTAGAGTGGACAAAGCAAACTTTTCTTATAACATTTTTATGGAAAAACTAAACAACTTTTTAAAGTTCAGATATGAGCAAGAATGCAGTAAAACATCAAAATTATTATTTAAATATACTTCAAGAGTTAAAAATTATATTTAATAAGGTGTTTAGACAAATTTGTTAAAAATCTCCACGCTAAACCCCTCTCTTTTACGATTCATCAATCTAGCCATTTTATTTTGCGTGACTCGATCTGATTTGTCAATAATTTAACCTTTTGTTTTACAGAGATATAAATTGAATTCATGATATTTAAAGGCTATTTTTGCAGTTAGAGATTTAATATCATTTTTAAATATTTAACTATTCAAACAAATCAACCTTAAATTTAGTTTTATTCTGAAATCTTAATATTATATAAATTTCCATCTTATTTTTTAATTCTCAATTAAACTATAAAACTATATTTACTTTTAATGGCATTTTTGTTCAAATATGTCAATAATTACTATATCTTCAGAAATTTTGTGTATTTCAAGATCGAAAATTTCTATATTTAAAAATACTTTTAATATGTTTAAAATATTTATTGTAAATTAATAAAGATAATTTGATCAAAATACGTGCTAAGTTTTCATTATTCTCAATACGCTCTAATGTGTTACTTTTAAATTATTTGATAAGTAAAATATTTTACGTAATAAGCACAAATTTAGTTCGAATTTTCATGTAATAAGCAAAATGTACTCGGAGATTTCAATTATTTACCTAATTAAAGAATCTCAGTGTGCATTGCTTCTGTGTAAGATTTTTGTAAAATATACCAGTACCAGCAGTATATATCAGGTGCGCCAAAAATGATCACCAATAGAAAGAATTAATAAAAGGAAAATGAAAAATCAATGGTACGTGACTCGCCAACTTATGTGAAACTCTATTTTTAGACATATTGTGATAAAATTAGAATAAGACCCATTTTATAATATGAAAGGTTAAAGCAATACTTTGCTGTTTCTAAAAATATAAAATTAATTAGTTCCTTTGGACGTAAACTATAGTTGACTTTTATAATTTAAAATTCTCGCGTTGTTCGTAATATACTTTTCAAAATCAATATATATGTGAACTTTTGGTTGAACTCTTTTCAAGTTTACGTTTACTATGAGACTTTTTCAATATATAGTTAAGAAAATTGTTTTGTATATTCAGATAAATGTATTTTATCATTGTTTGCAAACATATTTTATTTTGCCTAAGTATTTCTAGAGGTATATCGAAAAATTCAAAACAGTAAAATTAATATAAGGATTTCAAGGCCCTCTGATTAAATGTTTGAGCGATATTTTTCAAATTGTCGATCTTAAAATTTTCGAGGTCGAAAATACGAATTCGTTGGCAGAAGTAGTAATTTTACTATTTTTAAATTTTTATCATTCAGTTTCGTGTTTTGGACCCTTGAAAAATGCTGACCTTTTTCAGTCTAAATTTCGATGCGAAAAAAGGCTTTTATTTTCACATAATTTTTAAGTATGTGTTTTATATACGAAAATTATTAGATAAAAAAATAAAAAAGATATTTATATTAATAAATTATAGCAATAAAAAAACTAAAAAAACGAAACTTTATTGACTATTTTCCTATTTGAAAATATCGTTCGCTATGCCCGTATAAATTTCAAGCAAAATCTTAAAATGGTAACATTTATAAATCAATCTATGATACTCAGGGATACAAGATTTCATTATGATTTTTTGACAAATTTTGTGTGAAAGCTATAACGTCCGTTCATTGTTAAAAATTCCGGATTAAATTGCGGTAAAAAGTACCTGCATTCAGATTTCATCTACATTTTACGGTAAAATTTTACGGGAAAAAATCAATGTACTGTAAGTTTTAAGTAATATTTTTGTTAATTCATTGCATCACTGTAATTAAATCAATATTACTTCAAAAAATACTGTATAGAATTTTAGGATAAAATGAAATTTACTAATGTTGCACTTAGGGTGCCAGCATTTTTTACAGCAATTTAATTCGGAATTTACAAAGTTTAAATGAATTCCGTTGGTAAATCAATAAATACTTGAATGAAAAAAAAAGAAATAAATATCATATAAGACTCACTTTAGCTCTCCAAATGAGGGCTCGTGCTACGTCTTACCCTTCTTGTTCTCAAACGGTGGACTACGTGTGTCCGTGATGGTCGCCACTGAAGCCACAGTAGCGACCTTAGTGGGAGAGAGCTGATGACGGACTTCTGAAATGGAACACAAATGTATACAAAATTAGTTGAAGATCAAATAGTCAATAAAATATTTTTTATGCTATTGCAGCGTACTGTAAAACATTTCGGATCAAATTATGGTAAAAAGGTACCGGTAATCAGGCATCCATTTTTACCGGTATATATTAGGAAACAAAAAAATTGATATACCGTAATTTTAACTTTAATAGTTACCGTTAAATCTCAGAATCCCTTTAATTAAATAAATTTTACTGGCACACCGGCATAATAAAAGTACCGACATACAGGCATTTGTTTTAACCGGAGCACGTTACGGAACAAAATTACAATTATAACTACAATAAATCAATTTAATTAGAATGATCATTACGGTCATCACTCTAATGAAATGAATATTACTGCAAAAATAATACTGCATTTTTTATGATTGAGAGTTTAAATATCATAAANTACGGAACAAAAAAAAATCTGGTATACTGTAATTTTTACAATTATAATTACAATAAATCAATTTAATTAGAATGATCATTACGGTCATCACTCTAATGAAATGAATATTACTGTAAAAATAATACTGCATTTTTTATGATTGAGAGTTTAAATATCATAAATAAATTATTGCAAAATAAAATAATGTTTATATACTTTTTTCTTCTAAGAACTTAAAAAAAATATTTATTAATAAAAATAATAGATCAGGAACGCAAAAAAGGTTCGAATCTGATAAAAAAGTTAAATTTTGCAGTGCATTAAAAAACAATATATAACATGTGATTTTTTTATTATTCAGAACTCACATTATAACAGGTTTTTTTTACACTTTTTACAAATAAAACTGTTATTCAAAATATTTTGTTATTTTCATGTTTAATCTATTTTAAGACAACATTCTATCGATAAAAAGTGTTTTTTTTAAATGAATAATATCGAATTTGGTTCTGTTTGTGCATGCTAAAGCAAGCATAGTATCAAATTGCAATATGATAAAATTGTCAATTTAAATAGTTCAACCTGCCTTTTTTGTAAATATTTTATTGACATTATTACTACTTAATAATTTTGCAAACCAGAAATTATTAATACGAAGAAAATTGACAATTTATAATGTATGTGATTTGCCAATTTTTATTCCAACCAACAACATAAAGTAATTTATAAATCTTTCAAACAACTTAAGAAAGTCGTGGCTAACTATTTTACTGCAGAATGCTATTTTTTTCAAAACACGAGAGTTCATGAAATCAATTAGCTAAGAGAAAAATCGATTCGCATGAAATTAAATGAACAAGTGCATTCAAATAAACGTATATATCAAAAATTAGGAAAATAAATTAAATTATTCTACGAGAATAAAATGTCTTATATTTTATTTATAAATTTGATTGATTACCTCGTCATTTCAGTACGTACTAACGAATCGCTAAGAGATGAAAGCAATTGGAAAGATGTCAAGAATTTTTACCACTCTTTATAAGTGACGCAGTAGTCATGATTATTACACATATTTTTTTATTATTTCATCATGAAAAATGCTTTCTTTTAGTTGATTATTATTACTTTTCAAATGATACATTAGACCAATCTTTTTATTTACCAGTTCAGCGCTTGATATCAAAAATAACACTTCTTTTCTGAGTTTTCCCAAGGCTGATATCGATTGGAATTTTTGTGCCCGAACACTGTAAAATATGGACACTCAAATTTCATGTAGGTTTTTTTTCTTTTGTCGTATGCCTGTTTAGGCAGTGGGGGTGCGATTGTTCCTGTTTTTCAGTGGCGCCATCTATGGCCAGGAATTCGACTTCTGCCACGCCATTCACACAACTACAATCCGTTTACAGGGCGGGTCAAATTCATACACAAAGGAGAAAGGACATAGAACACACAGAGAGAGAAAGAAACATCCATGCCTTGCCCGGGATTCGAACCCAGGGCCTTTCTGATTCAAGGACAGTTCCCTGCCCCCTACACAGGCCGGTCAGCAGGTTGTTTCGTTTTAAATACCGATACCGTTCGATACCGTTTCCTGGTATATGTTCCTAGCGAACATTTCCTCAAAGTGACGAAATGACTATCGTCACTCCTTGGAGGAAATGAATTTTGTCAAACATAAATAAATGTTTCATCATTCTATTTCTTTCAACAGAAAAAAAGGAAAACACCATGCGGTACTCTTAGTGCCGCATGGCATTCAAAGGTGGTAAACTTGATCATTTTCCCGAGGGCACCATACAGCTGGATCAATGTCCCCCCAACTACGCAACGACACATAAAGTAGGGAAAAAAAATTCACCTATACCCGAAGTGGGATTTGAATCCGGGAACTTTCTGGTATGAGGCCAAATCCCCTACCACCGTACAGTCCGGTGGGTTTATCTTATTATTCTACTTTTGATCGTCTAATCTTCATTCTAGTTAACGATATCCAATAACGCACTGCGTTGAAGTTCCAAGTTGAAGAAACATTTCGTCATGTTTCGTCACAAATCAGATCATTTCGTGACGAAATTATTCTCAAAATTAACGAAATACAGTTCAAGGATTGGTGAATTGTCAAAAGTGAGAGTTTCATTTCTGAAAGTGATCCCTTCCGAGCTCGAGATATGAAAAAAATGAAGGCCGCAATTCACGAACACAGAAATCCAAAAGTAGCGAAGAGAAATGTTATGTTATTAATATGTTATGTTATTAAAATGATATATGATATTAAGATTAAATGTTATGTTATTAATATGTTATGTTATTAAAATGACATATGTTATTAAGATTACAAATTTAGGTAATTTTGCAAATTTAATAGACTTTTACTGTGTTGTAACCAAATTATTTTTATGCGTATATTAATATGATAGTTATAAGATAATATATGATCGCTTCCAAACTCGAGATTTAAAATGAAGGCCGAAATTCGCGAATATAGAAATCCAAAATTTACGAAGAGAACTATTATATTATTAATTTGTTAGCGAGTACAGTAATGTTGATTTGATTTTAAGACTTCAGGTTGTGACTATTAAATAACAAATACGTGGCTTAATGTAAAAAACCACGTCAAATGACGAGGACTTAAAATCAATGTATTTTTAGTTATGTAAAAGTATTTAAGTAAATATTTCTCTTGCGTTGTATGACACTAATTCATTGTTAGTGATTTTTTTAAAGCAATTACTTAAAATTTAGAACCATAAAAAGTTGGATAAGCCAGTTTATAAACCATTAAAAGTTGGAGATCATCTAGCTCATCTCGATTACATAAAGAATCAACATCTGAATTACAAGTGGAGAGAAATTTGACATTGACATTTACACGTAAACATTTACACGTGAAAATATTTAGAAGCTGTAGGCAAAATGTAATTTCTTTGCTGAAGATAACATTTAAATTGGAACCTCTTTTATCATTTTCAAGAATATAAGTCATTGGTAATATGGAAATTAAATGCATTTCTAAAGAAAATATTTCTTCGTAGACTATGAATTTTAGTATTAAATTATTTTAGACGCCAGGTATGGAGGTGATATTAAATGTTACATAATGATGTATCAAAAGTTTAAGTTAATTAAGTTGAGTGTCTACAAACGATAAATTTTGTCTGAAATTGAGTCAGGGGTATATTTGGGATCAAAGGATTCAAAATTGAGACTCGTTTTCACTAGAAAATCAGCAAAATCAATCTTTTACAATGTAAGAAAAAATGTGAAAGTAAATGTTGGTTCGAGTATTCTTGAAATATTTTCAACAATCAATAGCACCTCATTTAATAAAAAGTTAAAAAATGTAACATGACATAGTAAATGAAAAAATTTGATTCATAGGTTCAAACTAATCTAATTTATTTAAAGCTTCTGAAAATAAACAAAACTTAGAAAAGAGCTTTCAGTCTTGTTATTAAGCTATTAATTTGTTAAAAATAGTTTTAAATATTTTATGGAACACTATTCCATTTAACAACTTGGAAAGCAACTTAAGAATTTAGATCCAAAAAACCAATATTTCGAGTTAATTTTTCAAAATCAAGAGCATGTGATTTTAAATCAGAGTTAGTAAGTTAGAGTTAGAGTATGTGTGGGAAGACATTGTAATATTTCATACCTCATCTCGAAGATTCCGTCAGCGAAAACATCAACATTTAATTCAAAAGTAGAGCACAAAAATTATATAAAATTTAAATCAAATTTTAAAAAAAATCTCCAAGCATTTTCACCGCAAAATAATTCCAGATCAAATTACGGTTAAGAAGTACTGTCCATTTTAACCTCAACATTTTTTAACCTATTTTTAAAAGTAATACATATTTTATTGCAGTTACTCACTGACCTAACACGAAATATTATATAAAAATTACGATTTATCAGATTGTTTGTTCCTTAAGAGTTTGCTGCAAAGGGACCTTATAGTAAAAAGAGCATGCACCGTGAGTGCCGGTACTTTTTACCTTAATTTGAGTCAGAACTTTTTACAGTTTTTCATCAGTCTCAATGCAGTAATCTTGAGCTGAGATGGTTAAGGGAATAGAGCGTTTGCCTTCCAAAGAGTTAACCGGGTGCGAATCCCAGCGATGGCTGATTAATACGAATCCGCATCCAGCTTAGTCTGACCATAGTGTTGACGTGAAATATCCTCAGTGGTAGACGGATCATGGGTTAGAGTCACTCTGCCGTCAAGCTATCCCCGGGAGGTTATCGTGGTCTTCTCCTCCATATAAAGCAAATGGTTAGTTCCATCAAAAAGTCCTCCACGAAGGCAAAATTTCTCCCAATACTTGATCCAGGAGTTCCCTTGCCTTCTGGATTGGGTTCAAAATTACAAGGCTACAGAGTTGAACATTAGTTGTCGTTAACCCGAAAATTGGATCAGCTGTTCAATGACAGTTATAAAATATGAAATGAAAAAAACACCATGTCAGGTGCCATGGGTGAAAAAAGATGTTGGAATTTCAGGCATACCGAAAAGAAGAAGATTATGTATGGGGAAACTGTGTATACAATCTTTGACAATTTCATTATTTTTA